GGTGGTGGTGGTGGTGGAGGAGGAGCAATTGGGTGTGAGTGCACGGCCTCATGAACTGGAGCTACTGGAGCTGGTGGCGCTGGTGGTGCAGGTGGAATGTAGATATTTTTTGGTTGTGGTGGTGGTGGAGGAGGAGGAGGAGCAATTGGGTGCGAGTGCACGGCCTCATGAACTGGTGCTGGGGGCGCTGGTGGTGCTGGTGGAATGTACGTATTCTGCGGCACTATCGGCTCCGACTTGACCTCTTCATGGTGTTGTGGCACAGGATAGTCATAACCACTGTGCAAATGCGAAACATCGGCGGCGGCGAAAGCCAGCAAGGCGAAGGAAAGGGCAGCGAAGAGTTTCTGCAATGAACACAATATTTATCAAATTTTAATATTTTTAATATTTTTGATTTTTTTTTTATTATTATTTTTTTTTTTATAATTATTTTTTCGAATTTTTGTATATTTTTTTGATCAGTTTGTCACTGAAAATGTACGCACCATTTTCTCTTTTGCTTCTCGAACTGTTAACTCCACAACGGTTAAAGTTTGATAATACCCCAACAGCCGCTGGGCGCTCTATTTATATGAACGAAATGTGCTTACCTACACGCTTAGCGTTTGGCGGAAGCTGCATTTGGTCGCCGAAACACATACACAAACGCACACGAATTGTTATGCTAACGGAGTCTCCATATGAGATTCGCATTTACTGTTTGTTTTGTCGCGTCATTAAGCATGAATAACTTAGGCATTTGGAAAGTTTGCTACGCACTTAAAATTTGTCAAAAACAACAATTAAGCACACGTTTCACGAATATTTGAGGTTGCGTGTGTGTGTGGGTACGGTGCTTCACAGGCATTGACTCACACATGCAAACCAATAAAGTGGAGTTCAAAGCCTCAGAATGAAATATTTTTAATTTTTGTCGCATAAATTAGAAATTGTTGTTGTAAAATTCTAGTATATCCTAGAGCAATAAATTTCTAAATATATTCTTTACTATACTAGTTTGCCAAGTTTTATTAAAATAAATATTATTCTGTGAAAAACAAGAAAAATTCTCTTTTTGGTGATCCACACACACAGAGACATACAAAATTTTAAAGATACGCTCACTTTTCAAAAGAAATCAACACAATGAGCGATTTTGTATGACAATTGCGTACGTTAATAATTTATTTGGAAGAAGTTCACGACTTCTAGATCATCGTCGCCAATATTATATAATATTAAAAAAATTCTGAAAATTTTATGAAAATGATTAAATTTCAAATTGAAATAAAATTTATGAAAATCTTTTTTATAAACTGAATTATATGATATAAAATTATCAAAAAAATTGCATTAAAACTGTCTGAATATTTTTTTTAATTTTACGAAAACTTCTTGAAAATTTTGAATATAAGTAAAAAAAATTTATTTACATAGATTGA